TGTGCATATACTGCCCTTCTATTCTCCCATGATTGATCGCTCCAAGTAGTGTATCTACTTGATGTAACTGTTCAGCCTGTATGCTTGTCCGTTATTTGTCTGGAAGCTGCATGAGTGAGTTCAAATTGAGACCTGAAAGGTAGCTAGGGGCCATAGTCTCAGGAGTCTCACCAGGGTCTATTAGTCCAGCAAACCTGGTTTTTTTTTTTTTATGATTTTGAGTTTTGTTCCATATTGTTCTCCCACTCTATCCAGGAACTCTTACATGGATCCCCCTCTGAGTGGTTGACAGTGGTAGCTGGGTACCATCTAGTTCTTCTGGTCTCATGGTCATATAGGCAGAAGATTGTATGGTCTACCAGTCCCTTGGACTACTAATTGCTTCTGTGTGTTTTTGGTTTTCTTCATTCTTCTTTGCTCTGAATGAGGAAAGACCCATCGTTGCATCTAGATGGCTGCTTGCAAGCTTTTAAGACCCTAGTTGCTACTCACCAAAGTAGGATGTGGAACAGTGTTTTTGTGTAGTATGTCAGTTGAGCTTGATGTGCCCTGCAATCATGGTCCCGAGTCCACAGGCCCAACTGTTGGATCCTTCCCGGTAGCCAGCTGTGGCCAAGAAGTCACCACAGCCTTGTCCCTTGTCAGCTCTACTATATAACTTTGCTTATTTTTTGACTGGGTTATTTCTTTGTTAGGTTGTAGAAGAATCTTATATATTAGATATTATTAGATAATATTTTAGATGTTACTGAACATATGATTCCTGAAAATTTTCTCCCAGTCTGTGATTTTGTCTTTTTACTTTTTTTGGTGAGTCCTTATTTTAGCAAAACAAAAGTACTTAATTTTTATATGGTCTCATTTATCTATATTGTCTTTGGTGCCTCATGCTTTTGTTGTCATATCTGATAGCCCATTGCTAAAAACTGGTTCCATAAGTATTACCTTATGTTCTCTTCTAAGAGTTTAATGGTTTCAGTTTTCACATATAGGCCTGTGATCTATTTTGAATTGTTTTTTTGTGTGGTATGATACTTGGATCTGTATTCATTATTATGCATGTGGAAATCCAATTTTCCTAATACTGTTTATTAAAGAGAGTCTTCTTTCGCCATTGAAAGGACTTGGCACTCTTGTTGAAAATCAGTTAAGTGTAGATGTGTGTGTTTATTTTTGATCTCTAAATTCTTTTCCATTGGTCTGTGTGTCTATTATTAATAACAGTACCAGGCTCGTTAGGAGCTCTGGTAGCATAGTGCCTAAGGCACTTGACTGCTAATCAGAAGGCTGGCGGTTGAAACCCACCAGCCACTCCTCGGAAGGAAGATGGGGCAATCTACTTCCGTAGTGATACTGCCTTGGCAACCCAAGGAGGGGTCCATATGAGTCAGGTCCAACTCGATGGCACATAACAACAACAACAATAGCAGGCTCTGGTGGCATAGTGCCTAAGGCATTTGACTGCTAACCAGAAGGCTGGCAATTCAAACCCACCAGCCACTCCTTGGAACGAAGACTGAGCAATCTACTTCTGTAGAGATATTGCCTCGGAAACCCAAGGAGAGGTCGCTATGAGTCGGAATCGACTCCACAGCAGTGAGATTGGTTTTTTTCGTTTTTGTTATAGCAGGCTATGAAGGCAATGGTTCCAGCATCAGCAGGCAACACAGCAGACCACTGGTTCAAGTCCAGGAACTGTAGATGATCCTGGGCCAAATGCAGTATCCAAAATGAGCAGAAAAGCTAGAGATCTTTTCCAAAGCTTCTCCATATATACTGGAAGCAGGTGATGCCCCAAAGGCCACTCCCCCTCAACTAATTAGCTGCTCACAGCAGATGCCCTCATGGAAGTTATTACACCACATCCAGTCTCATCATGGGGAATAACTGCATCCACCTTTAAAGCCACTCAGGCTCACAGCCCAGTCAAGTTGACACACAACCTTAACTACCACAGACTCTTATTGGATATATGGTTTCTAAAGTGTTCTTCCAATCTGTAAGTTGTCTTTTCAGTTTTTGATAAAGTCTTCTAATAAAGAAAAGTTTTTAAATTTTTATGAGATCCCATTTATCTATTTTTTCTTTTACTGTTTGTGCTGTTGATATTATATCAGATAATCCATTGTTGAATACAAGGCCTGACAGCCATACTCCTATATTTTCTTTTAGGAAGTTTATAGTTTTAATTGGCACATTTAGCTCCTTAGTCCATTTTAACTTTGTTTTTGGTATATGGTGTGATGCGTGTGTCCTGTTTCATTTTTCTGCATATGGAAATCCAGTTTTCTCACCACCATTTATTGAGGAGATTCTTCCTTCTCCATTGAATGGTCTTAACAATTTTGTAAAAAATAAATTGTCCATAGATGTATGGCTTTATTTCTGGACTCTCAATTCTGTTCCATTAGTCTATATGTCTGTTATACCAGTACCGGGCTATTTTGATTACTCTAGCTGTATAGTATGTTTTACAGTCATGAAGTGTGAGTCTTCAACCTTTTTTTTTTCCTTCAGAATTGCCTTAGCTATTCTGGGCCTCTCCCTGTTCCATATAAATTTGAAGATTGTTTTTTCTAAAGAAGGTTATTGGGATTTTGATTAGGATCACATTGAATCTATAGATTACTTTGGTGCTTAGTAATTTTATTAAGAGTGCTTTTACCAATTCCCTTTGTTTCTCATAGTCTCTGTCCCTATGTTTAGGCAAACTCCTAACGTAGCTTTTATTAAATAGATGAAGTTTATATTTAATAATTCTTTCACTTGTGTAGGTTTCAAGGTTCTTCCTTATGTCAGTCAAATTTAATAATCTTTTTGTTTATATGTATATAATAAGATAGTCTCTGACTTATGACAGTGTTCTGTTCCTATGAATTTGCTGTAAGTTGGTTCTGATGTAAGTCAGGTAATTTTTTTTTTTTAGTTTTCATTGCTTTTATCTTTTATTATCAGTATCTTACACTATATATAAACTTAGAGATATATTTTAATACATAGAAAAAAATATGCAAATCATGAAAATTTACTCAGACGATGATGAAGAGTGATGTTGGCATTTTGTCAGTTGTAGTAATAATAACTCCACTCATGAAAGGTTCTGGATCCTGGGATCTATTCCTGGGAGTGTAGATGGTGTTTCTAGTCAGAAATTAGTAAGAGTTGTCTCTATGGTGTTTTCCTTTTCTTCTTCATATATTTTACAGTAACATCTTGCTACTTCTTGAATCTCCCTTTCAATTTTAGCAAAGCAATCAGTGTTTGAGTACATGGTTTCAAGCAATTGAAGTCTCTAGTTTAGAAAACTAAATCTGTATAGCAGTGTTTTGAAAAATAGATCATAAAATTGAACATCTGTGAGTGAACATCTGAGAACAACAGTGTTCTGGTTATCTAGTGCTTTTCTCACAGGAATATACCACAAATGGGATGGCTTAAACAAACAGGAGTTTATTCTTACAATTTGGAGGCATTAATCCAAGTTCAGAGTGCCAAGCTCTAGGGGCTGGGTGAAAGCCCCTCAGCCTTGGGCTTCAGCTCTGCTTCCAGCTCCCGGCTTGCTGAAGCTAGAGGCTTTTCTTTGCTCAGACAGCTGTTGGCTGCTGAGGCTGCCAAGCTCAAGGTTGACACATAAAAAGGCACAGTCCCAATGTTTCCAAACCACATGGCAGGCCATTAATTCAAATCCGTTATAAGTCCCCAGGTCGGCAGAGCATGGCAGGCTGCAGAACAACGACACGGCTACATGCAGGATCTAAGTGTGCCATGAGCTAGAGACTATCCCTAAGGCTTCTCCTTATGTATTGGAAGCAGACCACATCCCAAAGGCAGCTACTCACCTCCTGTGGTAGATCCCACCATGGAGTTGATTGCCAGTCTCATCATGGGGAATAGCTACCACCAGCTGCCCAGCCATTCAACCAGGCCCAGCCAAATTGACATACAAATTTAACTATCACAAATAGCATCAGCAAATTATGCACTGCAACACTGTGTATAGTACATGTTACTAATGATAAATTGCATACACACACGCACAACTAAACACTTCTAAGTGTGGTTTGTCATAACTTGAATGTGCTATAAATGTAATTATTTGATAATTGTAAACAGTACCAACAGATAGAGTGTCTAATCTCCATATGAATTGAAGAGAGAATGTCAAATCTATAAAAATAGCATAGTATCATTTGGGATTATTATGGGACATACATGGGGAGAATTCACCTTATGTTCTGGTCTGGGAGCAAGAATCCTTGGGGAGGATGCTGTGGGAAGGGAGACTTCCTTGAAAACTTTCCTCAATGCTTCTTAGGCTGTGATTTTAGGGCAGTATTATTTAATTATTTGTAAAGACTACCATGACTTGATAAATGAATATTATTTAATAAGGAACTCTGGTGGTATAGTGCCTAAGACATTTGACTGCTAACTAGAAGGCTGGCGGTTCAAACCCACCAACCATTCCTCAGAAGGAAGACTGGGTAGAGATACTGCATTGGAAACAAGGAGGGGTCACTATGAGTCAGATTTGACTCAAATAAAGAAAATTTCTTCTGTGCAAATCCTTACCTTATAAATACTCTTAAATCCTTTTTAAAATTGATTTTTTCACAACTCAGACTTCTGGAACCATGTTTTTTTTTTTTTAAATATATAGTATTTTTCAGATATTTTTAAAAGGATAGCATTTACTAAGCAAATGCTGTGTGTCAGTTCCTATACTAAAATTTCATATGTATATTTTTATATAGCTGATTATATTATTTGTGATACACTAAAAAACTTTTTTTTTAAGTGCAGAGGAAAAGACCTTTAAACATTTTTGAAGGCTACTGAATTTTCTATTATCTTAAATTCTTTTATATTAAGTAAATAAGTAAGAGATAGCTTTAACTGGTAATTGTGATTTTGTTTATGTAGTTATAGTTACAACTTATTAGAAGTTCACCTGGTACTTTTTAGTTCTTATCAGTTCTATTTTTTCCAGTCCTGTTTAGGTGGTTTCCTAGAAACATGGTTGATTTCTGGACCTGAACTCACATCCTGGTGAGGATTTCTTTACTGATAATGTCAAGTTCAGGTTATCCTCCCAACCAAGGAGCATTCAGCACAGAACAAAGTCGTTATCCTCCCCACTCTGTCCAGTATACCTTTCCCAGCACCCGTCACCAGCAGGTAAGAAACTAATTCTGTACAAATTGCCTATGTATTATATTTTTCTTCTTAATACATTTATTGTTCAGAAACAAAATATAGTTGTTCTTTTTTCATGGCAATAATCAATCTCAAAGATGGGGAACTGAAGGGTAAGAATGTATTATTTTTGTTTGCTTTACTTTATGTCAGATGTCAGGGTTAAATATATTTCTGCTTTTAATTGTAGGAGTTGATAGAAAGGTATCAGCTGCCTAGGGCTTCTAGGTAAATAACCTCTAGTAACTATGGTTGAATATTGAGCTCAGCAACTGATGAAAAATAACTTGGTTTTTCTTGAGTGATGGCCAGGATAAGGCCTTTACCTTTGAGAGATTTGATGTTAGGAAGATGAGAGAGTTTGTGTGACTAACTCACCTTGTGAAAAATAAAATAAGTGAAATTATGAGCTCAGAGTGGGCCAGGGCAGGGGGTGTAAAAGGTTTTAAGAACAAAGGAAGGGATGAAATGTTCATTTCGAAGAATAAGAAAACAAATATAATTGAGTACTAGAGGGTACTACTGAGGATTCTTTTGAACTGTTGTCCTGATTATAGACTGAGGCAGCTTTACCTTGTTCCTGATTTTAGAGAAAGCAATCAGTCTTTTACCATTAAGTATAATATTGGCTTGGGAAGCATTTCCTCTTCCCATATTATCTTAAGAGTTGTGTAGAATTGGTGTTATTTCCTTCTTAAATGTTTGATGGCATTTATTAGCTAAGCCATCTGGGCCTAGAATTTTCTTTGTGGGAATAATTTAAATTAAATTAGGAAGTCAACTTTCTCAATAATTATGTTGTTATTTTTGTTTGCTGCTGTTGAGTTGGCCCAGACTCACGATGACCCCATGCACAATAGGATCAGGCTGTCGTGATCCATAGGGTTTTCATTGCTGATTTTTTTCAGAAGTAGATCGGCAAGCCTTTTTTCCTAGTCTGACTTAGTCTTAAAAGCTCCACTGAAAAATGTTCAGCATCATAGCAATATGCAAATCTCTGATGACAGAAGGGTGATGGCTACATTTGACATGTATTGTCTGGGAAATGATCTCAGGTCTCCCACATGAAAGACAGGAATTCTACTACTTAACCACAACTGCCCCTTTTAATAGGTATGTCTATTCAAATTTTCTATTTTTTCTTGGTCAGTTTGAGTAATTTTGTTCTTGTTGTTGTTAGGTTCTGTTGAATCGGCTCTGATTCATAGTGTCCTTATATACCACAGAACGAAACACTGTCTGGTCCTGTGGCAGCCTCACAATCCTTGCAATACCTGAGCCCATTGCTGCAGCTACTGTGTCAATTCATCTTGTTGAGGGTCTTCCCCTTTTTCACTGACCCTCCACTTTACCAGTATGACACCCTTCTCCAGGGAGTGGTTCTCTTTGACAGCAATGACCAAAGCAGATGAGATGAAGTCTGGCCCTTGTCTCTTCCAAAGAGCATTCTGGCTGCACTTCTTCAGAACAGACTTGTTAGTTGTTCTGGCAATCCATGGTACTTTCAGTATTCTTTGTCAAGACCACAACTCAAAAGCATAAACTCTTCTTCAGTCTGCCTTACTCATTTTCCAGCTTTTGGATGCATATGAGGTAGTAGAAATCACCATGGCTTGGGTTACGTGCACCTTAGTCTTCAAGGAGACTTGCTTTCTCTTCATCACTTGAAATAAGTCTTTTGCAGCAGATTTGCCCAATGCAATATGATGTGTGATTTCCTTACTGCTACTTCCATGGGTTCCCTTGGTTATGGAACTAAGTAATATGAAATCTTTGACAACTTCAGTCTTTTTGCCGTTTATTGTCATGCTGTTTATTGGTCCAGTTGTGAGGATTTTCATTTTATGTTGAGGTGTAATCCATATTGTAGACCGTACGCTTTAATCTTCATCCGTAAGTGCTTCAAGTCATCTGCACTTTCAGCAAGCAAGGTTGTGTCGTCTGCATGTCAGAGGTTGTTAATGAGTCTTCCTCCAATCTTGATGCTGTGTTCATCTTCATATAGTCCATCTTCTCGGATTATTCACTCAGCATATAGATTGAATAAGTATGGTGAAAGGATACAGCCCTGACACACTCCATTCTCGATTTTAAACCATGGAGTTTCCCCTTGTTCTGTCTGAATGACAGCCTCCTGGTCTATGTACAGGTTCCTTATGAGCACAATTAAGTATTCTGGAATTCCCTTTCTTCTCAATGTTATCCATAAAATTGTTATGATCCACACAATCTAATGCTTTTCTGTGGTCAATAAAACACAAGTAAACATGTTTCTGCTATTCTTTGCTTTCAGCCAAGGTCAATCTGACATCAGCAATGATATTCCTCATTCCACATCCTCTTCTGAATCCAGCTTTCCTTTCTGGAAGTTCCATGTCAGTACATTGGTGCAACCACTTTTGAATTATCTTCAGTAAGATTTCACTTGTGTGTGATATAAATGATGTTGTTTGATAATTTCCACATTCTGTGCAATCACCTTTCTTTGGAATGGGTACAGATATGCATCTCTTCTAGAAGTCATTTGACCAGGTAGCTATCTTCCAAATTTCTTGGCATAGACGAGTAAGTGCCTCCAGTATGGCATTCATTTGTTGAAACATCTCAGTGGGTATTCTGTCAGTTCTGGAGCCTTGTTTTTTGATACTTCCTTCAGTACAGCTTTGACTTCTTCCTTTAATACCGTTGGTTCTTGATCATACGCCACCTCCAGCAATGGATGAAAATCAACCAATTCTTCTTGGTACAGCGACTGTATGTATTCCTTCCATCTTCTTTTGACATTTCCTGCATCATTCAATATTTTGCCCATAGAATCTTTCAATATTGCAACTCGAGGCTTAAATTTCCTTTTCAGTTCTTTTAGCTTGAGAAATGCTGAACATGTTCTTCCCTTTTGGTATTTTAACTCCAGGTCTTAGCACATTTCATTATAATAATTGACTTTGTTTTTGTAAGCTGCTCTCTGAAATCTTCTGTTCAGCTCTTTATTTTGTTATTTCTTCCATATGCTTTAGCTACTCTCTGTTCAAGAGCAAGTGTCAGAGTCTCTTCTGGCATCCATTTTGTTTTTTTCTTCCTTTTTTTTTTCCCCTTCCTTCCCTGTCTGATTAATGTACCTTTTGCTTTCTCCATGGATGATGTTCTTGATGTCATCTCACAATTCTGGTTTTTAGTCACCGGTATTCAGAGTGTGCAATCTGTTCTTTAGATGGTCTTTCAATTCAGGTGGGATAAAATCAAGGTCATATTTTGGTTCTTGTGGACTTGTTTTAATTTTCTTCAGGTTCACTTTGAAATTGCATATGAGCAGTTGATGGTCTGTTCCATAGTCAACTCCTGACCTTGGTTTGGATGAAGATATTGAGCTTCTCCATTCCTTCTTCCACAGATAGAGTTGCTCTCATTCCATCTGGTGAAGTCCACATGTATAGAGGTTCTTCATGTTATTGAAAAATGGTATTTGCAATGAACAAATCATCGGTATTCTGTCATGTAATTTCTGACCTCATTTCTATAACCAAGGTCTTATATTCCTACTACTGGTGATTCTTCTTTGTTTCCAGCTTTTGCATTCCAGTCACCAATGATAATCGACACATCTTGATTGCATGTTCGATCAATTTTAGACTGAGGAAGTTAGTAAAAATCTTCAATTTCCTCATCTTTAGCTTTGGTGGTTGGTGCATAAATTTGAATAATAGTAGTAACTGGTCTTCTTTCTATGCGTGTAGACATTACCCTATTATTGCCAGCATTGTACTTCAGGATAGATCTTGAAACAGTCTTTGTGATGATGAATGCCATGCCATTCTTTTTTAATTTGTCATTCCTGCCATAGTAGATCACATGGTTGTCTGATTCAAAATGGCCCAAACCAGTCCTTTTTAGCTCACTAATGCCTAGAATATCAATCTTTGTGTGTTTCATTTCATTTTTGACAACTTGCATTTTTCCTTGAGTCATACTTTGTACATTCCACATTCTGATTATTAATGGATATTTGTAGCTTGTTCCTTCCCATTTTGAGTCGTGCCACATCAGTAAATAGAGGTGCCAGAGCTTTGCTGCATCCATGTGATTAAGATTAACTGTACTTTGAGGAGGCCACTCTTCCCCAGTCAAATTTTGAGTGCTCTCCAACCCGAGAGGCTCATCTTCCGGCAGTACATCAGACAGTGTTTCAGGGCTATTCATCAAGTTTTCCAGTAATACATCAGACAGTGTTTCACTGCTGTCCATATGTTTTCCCTGGCCACTTCTTTGAGAAGTGGATGGCCCCTTCCTTCTTCCTAGTCTGCCTTAGTCTAGAAGCTGTGCTAAAACCTGACCACTGTTGGTGACCCTGCTGGTATTTGAAATACTGGTGTCATAGCCGCCAGCCTCACAGCAAAATGCAAGCCACCACAGTATGACAGACTGACAGAGCAGGGGTGGAATTTTGTTGTTGTTGTTGTTAAGTGCCGTCGAGTCGTTTCCGACTCATAGCAACCCCATGCACAGCAGAATGAAACACTGCCCAATCCCGCACCAGCCCCACAATCCCTGCTGTACTTGAGCCCATCATTGCAGCCACCGTGTCAATCCATCTCGTTGAAGGCCTCCCCCTCTTTCGTCGACCCTCCACCCTACCAAGCATGACATCCTTCTCCAGGGAATGGTCCCTTCTTACAACATGACCAAAATAGGTGAGACGAAGTCTGGCCATTCTTGCTTCCAAGGAGCATTCTGGCTGCACTTCCTCCAGGACAGATCTGTTAGTTCTTTTAGCAGTCCATGGTACTTTCAGCATTCTTCGCCAGCACCACAACTCAAAAGCATCAACTCTTCTTCGGTCTTCCTTATTCATTGTCCAGCTCTCACATGCATACAAGGCGATTGGAAATACCATGGCTTGTGTCAGGCGCACCTTAGTCCTCAAGGAGATATCCTTGCTCCTCAGCATTTGATACAGTCATCTGCACAGGCTGTCGTGCTGAGCA